CCACCACCGCGGACACAGGCATTAAATTCTGGCTGCTGTTTTCTTCCAGCAACACGGCTGTGGAATGCTGATTTACTGATATTTTCAGGGAATAACAAGGAGAATACCAAGTGAGGAACAGCTTAAAATCTCATTTTAGATTTCACTGCAAAATATTGCAATCTAAACTTTAGGGTGGTGGATTACCCACAACGCTGATGCTGCACTCAGTTTGCCAAAAGAGAAGAAGAAAAGGCTACCCATGGGGAATAATGACTGGGAAATGATCCAACACAATAATGCTTCAGACCGCAGGCAGAACTAAAGCATGAGTTAACACGCTTTTAGCTTCACAATCACAAAATAACAGTTTTCTGCTTTACCACAGAAGATCATAATATTGAACCTGATGTCAGGACATGAATCAGCAGCCAAATGCTTCATTGACAATAAATATGATGTAATTTAAAGGAAAGAGCCATCATTTGATGTTGCACCTACGTACCATGTGGCCTTTTAAAGCATCCATACTTTCTGGCATAAAACAAAAACGTCATATTCCCAGAGGGGCTGCAGAGATCTAGAGCTTAGGATGGAGGATGTGTTCCCCAAAAACCTGGCCTTTGTGTAGGAGAGGCCTGGAAAAAATCTAAACTACTTCTCAGGGCAGTTTGTAACATCCTTGTGTGCAGAGGGGTGTTCTAAAAAACATGAGATCAAGACTTTACAACCAATGTGGAAAACAGTGGTGTAAAAGAACACTACGCATCACCCGGTGGCAGCATGATGCAGGGAGGATGGGGTATTTCATCAGAGAGAGGAAAGCAGGTCATAGATAATGGTATTATGGTTGGAGCTGAACACTTGTTTTGTCAGAAGCAGCAAAGAAATTGAAACTGTGGTTAGCTTTCATCTTTGAGCAAAACAAGCTAGACTAAAAAGTTAGGGTAGTAATGTTTGACATCAAAACTTATTTTTTTTATCTGTTAGAATTGCCCAGTCAAAGTCCAGAAACAAATTAAATGTTAACTAAACTTATAAGCTAATTTCCCCATCTAAATCTGGGCTGTTTTGCAAAGAGAAATAGGTAAACAAATGTTGAAAACTTGTTAAGATGTGAGCCTGAAGAATTGCAGCTGTATTAGCAGGAAAACAAAATTTGAATGAACGTTTTCTGCTGTAATAAAACGTTTGCAAAGGATCAGGTGGTATGAATACTGTTGCAAGGCACTCTATGACTACTGTGTGAACAGAACACACATGAAACCATTGAGCTGGTCAACTCACAGGTTAGATATATATATATATATACCAATGAGTACCCCTTAGAGCTGTGGTGTAGCTGTTAGTAGGGCAAGAAGGATGTGGATTCAAAACCCAGGCTTTTCTGCATGGAGTCTGCAGGTTCTCCCCATGCATGCATGGGTTCTTATCCAGACACTGTGGCTTATTTAGAAATCTGCATTTTGGGTTAAATGTTTTTTTTTTTCCTTTTAATTGCCATTATGTTGGCTGCCGACCTGTCCAGGTGTACCTCGCTGCTCACCAAATGACAGCTGGAAATGGATGCTAGTTCCACCCATGCAACTCTGCAAGAACAAGCAGGTATAGAAAATAGATATACCGGTATGTATAATTATTCTTTCAACTATCATTACTGCGGCTCTGTTTGGATTAATTTATAGGTTTGATGGAAGATGGATTGATGAAATGCCATTAAAAAAACCTGAAACCAAGTCTAAGACAACATTTGGAATATATTTGAGTTTTTTTCTTTTTCCTTGTACTTATCCTGCAAAAATGTGGCTCCATTCATCAACTATTGCTGTTTTAAGGTTTTTATTTCAAAAGAAATTCTACACAGACTAGCAGTTAACATTAGAAACAGCTACTTAGTTTGCCGCCCTTAAATTTCAAGTAATAAAAGTCTGCCGCAGAAAAAAAACATGAAATTGCCAAAGGAAATGTTAAATGTACGAAGAACAGCCTATTTTTAAGAGCAGCTAGCTTAACAAGGTCATGGTGGAACTGCTTGATGAAATGCAGGCTTGTTTCAGGGCTGTCTGCAAATATGTGGGTGTCATCGGCATTGTGGCAACAAAAGGTGTAAAACCCACTGAACACAGGAAATTCAGGGAAAGGCGTTTTTGACCCTTCATATAGTAGTGAACTATTTTTAACTAAAGGATGTGAATGTTCTTTTCACCTTGCAGTTTAACTCTGACTGACAAGCTCAGGAAAGTCCCATTTAGAGGTATTGGCATCGAATGGTGATGCCGTACGTGGATCTTGTTTCAAATCTGCAGGACCAGGATGTGGTGAGAGTGGCACACTGGTGCGGCATCAGCAAGATAACGCACAACGCACGCTTCTTTCACTCAAAGAGGACACCCTTTCCTCACTCTCTAAACAGAGTGAGCTAGATTACCGAGAATAGAAATGCAAAAAAAAAAGATAACACAGCCAAACATCAAGCTAAAATTAAAACTAAAGTTGCCTGAACTGTGGAGAGGAGATGTGAAAATCACAAGTCAAGTTTCCACCACTTCTCCCAATGCCAAAAGAAAAGCTCACATTTTCAACATCACGTTGCTATGACAATTTAATTATAGTTTGTCATGGTTGCCCTGCTGTTTGTTTGCTTCTCTGAGGCAGTGGGAAGATAATGTGTGAATATGAAGTGGCACTTTTTGGCAAAAAAAAGAAAAAAAAAAAAGAGATCATGTTTGACTGTAGGAGAAGATGGAGATAGTGTGTGACTTTGTGGAGGTTTTGCAGCATGTCCAGAGCCTGTTGATTATGACTCATAACATAAACCCACTTAGCTTTCAGTAAACGCTCAGTACATCTTTGGGACAAAAATAGAACAAAGCTGAGGAAATATTCTTTTTTTTTTTTAATACATACATACACACACATATACATATACATACCGTACATATACATATACATAGATATATATATATATATATATATATATATATATATATATATATATCTCAATGGGCGCAGTTCTACCACCTAAGAACTATTACACTTTGTAAAGGCTCCAGTTGAGATCCTCAAAGAAACTGAAACTTATCCGAATTATGGAGAAGTGATTCATTCCTCATTGAAGTAAATGAAACTGCTTCTTCTCAAAAGCATTCCACCACAATCATAGCCACCCCCTCCACCACCACCACCACCACCACCCACCCCCCAGTTTACTGACAGCTTCCTTAACCGGTCCCGGTTAGATCCAATCATAACTGCGAGCAGAAAGGGCACTTTGGGCGAGAGAAGGAGCAGAAAAGTCTTCTCAACTCGCCTTGAAGTGTGCAGACGTTTCTCTGCAGCTTTTGCTCTCGGGAACAGGGTTCCGGAAATGAGTCCGACCCCGGATCATACAAGAGGGAAGTCAGTTATTGCTGTGCAATTCGGCGGTTTATGAGTTTAGTTTAAAATCCAATATGAGAACTGCATCCAAGGACAACTTTCAGCCTTTCCTAGTCAGCTCAGCAGCTGCACAAGTCAACCATCCAATAACACCTCTTTAAATTCAGTCCACCGAGCGGGCAAAATAAGACAGTGGGTGTAATGTGCAGGAGAAATGTTTTCACAGAATATTCAACTTATGAAGGATGGTGGATACTGATGTGAAATGTGAGGCTTATTTTAATTTCCATATCCATGAAGAGGCAGAGTAAAGAGCTCTGTGCTTCATGGGCCATGGTCTTTTCCCAGAAAAGCTCCAATCACTGCCAGCATTGGAAATTTTCTACTAATGCAAAGAGCAGAAGGTTAAGGCAGCACTCTGACCTAATAATGTTTTTCCTAAAACCTTTTTAGATGGGGCACAGTTACAAAAATAAACCTGAACTCAGAGTAACACATGTTTTAAATAAGCAAAGAAGTTCCCCATCATGCTAATAGCAAAACATTAATGCTAACTTATTTGATATTTGCATTGTCAGTGGAAGTCAGACCAAACAGCCGTTGTCCTTTTGGATCCTGACCGTGCAAACACTGTGATAATAACAGAACAGTCATAATGACTGCTCTCATTGTGCAAGGCTGACTCAGCCCTGTCTTGAAGTTTGGTGACACTCCACGTCTAACTTTAAATAATATGCATGTTCATTGAGCTAATGCTAAATTAAATTACACAGCAGCCTGACTGCAAAGCTGCACAATTATCATAATGACAGGATGGAGGAGGGATAATATATTTTGGAAACACTGAAGAGGAAAAAAGAGATAAACAGGAAGAGTTTACGGCATTATTACTGGTTAACAAGTCTGATGGAAAAAAATAAAATAATCCTTTAATTCTAGCAGAAACACCGCTAGGTAGGGGTGTGTTTAGGGTTGCATACGTTCAAAAACCAAAACAATGATACGTTTACAGCAAACACACTTCTCAGGAAAATGTAAACACAACTGCTGATTTAAAGTAAATTAGAAAAACAAACAAAGTTATAGACAGAATCAACCTAACATTAAAACAATTTTCATAGGATTAAGGATTTATTTATTAGACAAATTATTTCCTTACATTTCTTTGATATAAAACTAAATCAAACTGAAAAAAAAAACTACCTATTACCATAAGCACACCAATATAGCACCTTCACATACTTCGAGTGACAATAATCATTATAGGGCCCCAAAAAATAAAGGCCTTTCTGGTTTAAATTAAAGTAGTAAGACCCTGTTAAACAGTTTGGTTTTAGATATTTTTCCTTGATCAGCACGAAAATATGGTATGAAGAGTTAAGGTTATCGTACCACCCTATTCCTAGTTTCGGTTTAACAGATTAAAACATTATCAGAAAGGTTTCAAGTAATGAAACTGTCAAACAAATGGGTTAAATATCAGAGTACACCATGGCAACAACTGCTTAGGTCTTTTTTGTACAAATTCTAAAACCAAAAATATTTTTATAGCTTGTGCAACAGAGCAAATGTTCATCTTTTTTTAACACACGCATAATCCATGCAGAGCAAATGATACCCATGGAAATATTGACATCACCTACCCTCATTTTCAGATGATGGGCACTCCACTTGTACAACTAGATCAAATGTTCTTTCTGGGTTCTCCCTGAAAAGAAGGAAATGTTAGTTTAGAAAGAGAAAAAAAAAACATTTTAACTTCCATTTAGCATTAAAATCCACTGTGGTGCTGATAAAATGTATTAGGTTGCATGTGTACTTCTACTTAGAAATAAAGGTTCTGTCCTACTTTACATAGTCCTAAAAGTCAATGGCAGATAATGTCAATACTGGCAGCAGCTGGTTTATAAAAATAAAGCTCAAACAACAAGAATATTCGCAGCGACATTCTTTCAGGCATCTATTTCTTGTAATGTTAATCAATGCAACTTACATTTTCTCCACAAAGAGGTTTTAAAAATTCCAATTAGGAAAAAAAAAGGGTTTTAAAAGAGAAATCTTTTAATTGGCAGTCATGGAGACAGGCATCAGACACAAATGGCCAAGACTGAAAAAAGCTGGCTATAACCAAAGGGCCATATTCTATATTATTACGGTAATAGAAAATTTAGTGGAAGAAAAAAATGTGCAGCACAAGCTAAAGTGTAAAGGGAATTCACAAAGCATGAACTTGTCTGATCTAATGCAGAGTGGCAGTTGATTTGGAAATTAAGATCATAGTGTCTCGAGGAAGAAGAAAAATAAATAAAGAATACGAGTAACTTGAGGTCCATTTTAAAGTTTACAATCATCAGTGTTGGTCCGGTGTTTTTTTATCAAAGCCATAGTCAACAGAGTTATCTACTAGAAAATATAAAAGCACTTTATCCTCAAGATATGGTTCAGAATAAGATGGAAGAAACCAAAATGCAACAAGGAAGTAGATCTGGTGATGAACTGGCTCGGAGCTCGTCTGCCTGGCTGTGTGTTTCCTGAACTGGGCTGCCTTTTACAGTTGCCTTTTGTATCTCTGCTTCTGCCTCCTTGAACACCTTTTACCCCTAACCTTCTTCTCTGATGTTAAAAAAAGGCAGATTTAGGAGAAGGGAGGGAATATTTTTATGAGAGAAAAACTAAAATTAAAACTAAAATTTCAGACAAAGTGTTACCTCACATTGTAAAGTCAGAGGTTTTTTTTTTTTTTTTTTTCTATTTTATCTTATCTTTCTGTATCTCTGCTTCTCCCTCTTGAAACTCCAGTCGGCCTCAGCAGACAGCCGCTCACACGCAGCCTGGTTCTGCCGGAGGTTTGTTCCTGTTAAAAGGGAGTTTTTCCTCTCCACTGTCACTACAAGCATGCTTAGTGTGAGGGATTGCCTTCAAGTCAATGAGTCGATGCAATCAACTGGTTTTCCTTAGAAAACTTTGTATCAATTAGACTGTATGATCTGGTTGAACTGTAAAGCACGTTGAGATGACATGAGTTGTGAATTGGCGCTACAGAAATAAACTGAATTGAATTGAATCTCCATGTAAGGTCAAAGCGTCCTTTCCATCATATATTTGGGCTTTATTTTTATTTATTTAGAATTTGAAATAATCTACTCAATTATATTAAAATTTGTTAAATTTATTTAAACTTTTTTTAATAAATATGATCAGAAATGCCCTTTTCAGAGCTTCTCTGAGTGACTGTGAAGTGGTTTTCTAAGAAAGAGAAGTTCTCTCATTTCACCATCATGGACTCTGCTTCCTCAGAAGCCTGATAAGTGTTTGTAAAGCTGCCTGGTTTGGCAGTGAGAGCCGCTAACCGGCGGTCAGCTAGCAGACAGCCACAGACTGACCCCCATGCTGACTGAGCCAGCTGGCCTGGCCCTAAACCCCCGGCTGTAGAGGGCTCCAATCACGCAGAAACATTCCTCCGCATGCAGCTCCGACACTGCGCGACGCGTCCGAACCGTTAACATTAGCTGTTAGCTTGGCAGAAGGAAGCATAGGGAGACAAACAGCTGAGAAACACGGAGCTCTTACTTTATCCTGCTGTCCATGGTTTGGTTACAACATCGCGACAGCTCCCTGCTGTCGGCGGCTCTGCTGCTCGGGGGAGATTTTTTTTTTTATCTCCACCTTCTCCGTCCTCAGACTCCTCTTCTTTTCTCTCCCGGTCCTTTAGCTGATAGCGGTGAGAGGAAGCCGAGACCGCATGTTTAAAGGTGGGAGAGAAGCGCCGACGTGTCCCCCTCTGTTCCTGCCGTCTATGTGGCCTATTTCCACCGTTGAGCTGAGCAGCAGCGGGGCTGTTTCCCACAACAAACGGCGCTCCAGGAAGTGCTGTCAAAGAGCCGGTGACGTCGGTGCGTCAGATCAGCACCTTGCTGCCCGCGAGCGTCCAATGTGGAGGAGGAGGAGGATTATGATGGAGTTGGTGATGATGCAGCAGACCAGGACCATGTGATTCATGCTTTTTAACAAACAGGGGCTTCCCTGTGATATTAGGTCAATAACAGCCAGAGGCGTAGCCAGAAATATTTGATAAGGGTGGCCAGGCAATAACCAATGTACACTGAGGGGGGGCTGAAAGGCAAGGCAAGGCAATGCAGCTTTATTAGTATAGCATTTCAGCAACAGGGCAATTCAAAGTGCTTTACATAAAATCAGTTTTAAAAAATAAATAAAACACAGAGGAAACAGTTTAAAATAAAAACAAAATAAAACACAAGAATAAAAAATACAGTGCAATATAAGAGATTAAACAGTAAAGAAATTAACGTAATTTAGAGAAAGGCAACATCAAAAAGAAAGGTCTTCAGCATTGATTTAAAAGAACTGAGAGTAGCAGCGGACCTGCAGGTTTCCGGGAGTTCATTCCAGATGTGAGGACCATAGAAACTGAAAGCTGAACAGAAAGTAGACCTGTCCCAGATGACCTTAGAGGTCTGGGGGGGTCATAGTGTAGCAGGTCAGAAATGTATTTTGGCCCTAAACCATGTAGTGATTTATAAACTAGCAAAAGTACTTTGTAATCAATTCTTTGAGACACAGGAAGCCAATGTAAGGACTTCAGAACTGGAGTGATGTGATCCAGTCTCTTGGTCTTAGTGAGGACTCGAGCAGCAGCGTTCTGAATCAGCTGAAAGTAGATAGGCACCAGAACCCAAGGGCGTAGGTTTGATTTCAACTTTGATAGGGACACTATTGGTCTTCAGTTTCATTGGTCTGATCTCATTGGTCCTGTGCAAAAATATGCTTAATTAATGTGAGCATCAGGGCACATTTTGTTTAAAGAGAACAGCAGCATTTCTTGCTACATTAATACAAATCTTATAGGCACTGCACACACTAGATGCTGTTTAACAATGTTTAAAGAATCACTGGCTCTGACGAATGTGGAATTAGGACTTTTTTCCACTTTAAAAAGGTTTGCATTTAAACTTACCAGCGACTAAGACAGTGCCTATTTAACCAAATATGGTGTAAATATGTCTGTTATATGTGGATTTATCCTGTGTTTTCTTTTGAAGATATAGAATTGTGCAGAGGCAAACCCCACTCTTATTTTTTTTTTTTTCGAGGGACGGCAAATAAAAGTATTGTATTTACATGTGCACTGAACTATAATAAATCTGACAATGAGCATTTAAATTATAAATGTCACTATACAAGATGTACATCTGGGCTGTAGTTACTCTGTTTAGTTTATTTTATGTATTTTATCTAGGGCTGAAACAATTAATCATATTAATTGATTATTTAAATAATCGGCAAATAGTTTAGTAACTGATTAATCTTTAACTGGAGTATAGGGCCACTAAAATGTGCCTTTAGCCGACAGAGCGACCCACTTAGAGCAGAAATTATACCAATACTGTAAAAAAAATTTTGCATTTAAGATAAAAAAATTTTTTAAAAATTGTCTGTCAATATTCCCCATCCAGAACTCATCAAGAGGGAACCTTTCTGTTTCACCTGGTTACATTTCATTAAAAAAAATCTTCTCGAAGGAACCTTTGGCTATCTGATTATTAATAGATTAATGGAAAAAATAATCAACAGATTAATCAATTTGCAAAATAATCGTTAGTTGCAGCCCTAATTTTATTGTAACATTCCAAACATATTTCTTCCATAATACAGCACTGAAGGGCAGCTGCTTCACCTTGAGGCTGCCCTGCATCATTATATCTGGGTTTCCTACAATCATATAATGTTTCCATTATACAAGTTTGTTTTTAATAGTAAAGGATTAAATGTAACACAACCTTTTATCATCATCCTATATGCTACTGTCTGACTGTTTAAATAACTCCTTATGTCTATTTTAAAGCACAACACTAAGAATGAGCCTAAGTTTCTTCAAATATAAAATAACTTTTAACAACTATAAAATATAAATTAAAATATAACACTATATGACACTTTTTTATTTTGCACTCCAAGCATGCACGCGCACACATACAGACTAGAAAACAAGCACTTAGAAAGAGAGAAGGCGGAACTTAAGGCAGAATAATCAGAGAGTTAAACAGTGCAGCACAGTTCCATGCGCTGCTATGTGAAAGGGACAGGAAAGACCAGGCAGCTGCAGCTACCAGGCAGAGGAGCTGCGAGAGGAAAAGAAGCCACTGCTGCAACAATGCTGGATTTTAAATTCTAAACATGTTATTCACATCGAATTATTGGTAGGGACAAGTAGGTTGATCCAAAATTTTGGTAGGGACATGTCCCTTATGGTCCCTATGAAAACCTATGCCCATGCCAGAACCTCAGGGTCAATCTCTGTCGATGTGGCAATAACAATAATTGTCTTGATGCAAAAAAAAAGAGAGCCCAACAGATTTTGCTTTCACTAGTGAAGCAGTACGGCTATCGCCATAGTGTTCCACTTGATTTATGCATATAAATAGCTTTATTATACTTATGCAGGGAGTATTACAGATTATATGACCACTGCAATGTAAGTAGAATAGGAAAGGACAAAAAAAGGGAACAACAATAGATTTATATCTATATTGATGAATATGTAATTTTTTAAACTTAAGTTAGAGGCTTTAAAATAAGCTTGTATGGCCTTTCCTTTCTGCACATGTGCTGTTTTTATATAAATATTGAAAATTTGTTTCTTAACGCTAAATAAACAAATGGATGAATAAATGAAGAAATTATGCTTTATAACACAAGGATGAGGTGCTATGTTTGCGATAGATAGATAGATAGATAGATAGATAGATAGATAGATAGATAGATAGATAGATAGATAGATAGATAGATAGATAGATAGATAGATAGATAGATAGATAGATAGATAGATAGATAGATAGATAGATAGATAGATAGATAGATAGATAGATAGATAGATAGATAGATAGATAGATAGATAGATAGATAGATAGATAGATAGATAGATAGATAGATAGATGCATAATCAATGGCGATATTCTAACATTTAGATTGTAATGCAGCTTCCACCTAGTGCTGGTGTGATACAAAGCAACAAACTAATATTTCATCAAGCTTTAATTCTTTAAACTGAGGCCTCGCATTTGAAGATGAAGATTATGATTGACTAATTTTCTTTAATTTTTAAAAGTAGATTTTGGGATTATACTATTTTGCTTTAGGAGTATTGTAAAATAAAAACGATGTTTATAGATGGAGCTGTTCTATGCAATAATTGAAGTCTTCCTCTTTGATCAAAGCACAAATGCATATTTCCATTTCTTACTTTATTCATACATTTTCTATGGACATTCAATCGGTGCAGTATTAATTAATCAATGGGCAATTTAAAAAATCTGCTGGAACCCACATCCACTTTTTATTTTAATTTAAATGTTCTATTTTTGAGAATCAAATCAAAAGATATATTTTCATTTATCATGCCTACCAACTTCCATTCTTTAAATGTCTTCCCCTCAGTCCCTGACACCAAATTTCCAGAGACATTAAACTATAGTTTTTTATGTAGTTATTTCAAAACAATAGCTTACATGCTATTATGTTTGTAGATGGGTTGTAGAATAGTAGATGGCTTGAAACTATTTGGATCTCACAAAACCCCCGGAACTATGCAATTTTTTTTTGTACTGGTGCACCAACACAGGATTATTAGTGGCCCTAAATAGCCACTCCTTACAGAAACTTCTTTAGTCAGTGGGGCCCGCACAGATACAAACAGGAAGAACGACTTTCAACCGACCTGCCCACACACTTGCCAGCATGTAGAGTGGCCCTTTAACCTGACATGAAGGAACCTGAGGAACCAGAAAAAAAAGGAGGAAATGCAAGCTCCACAAAGAATCCAGGCCTTCCTGCTGTTAGACTACAGTGCTGACAGCAGTGTTTATCTCCACCACAATCCAATGCCAGTGTAATGATGTTTATAATTATAGAATTAGAGACTCAGACTTTTAGTCCTCCACTTTTAAAATCACAAGCATCAAGAACCTTTAAGTCATCATGAATTCATCTTAAAAAGAGGAGAACATAAGTAAAGATAGTTCACTAAATTTTAGATATTAGGATTGGCTGCTAATATATGAGTTTTTTTCTTTCCCAGTAGATAATTTGTGCTTATTTTCTTGTTGTTTCCGTCTTCTGTTCGATGCATAACCATAAGTTGTATTTGTCATTGTCCCTTCATTTAATGTTTTGCTGTATCTTTGTGCAGCTCAGCTGTGTGAATTAGTTCTCCCCTCATAGCTCTCACCGCTCAGTTTAGCTGATCTATATCGTCACACACCAGCATTCTATGTTTTTCTCCTCTATGTTTAAGGATTTTATTAGTGATTAGTCCATGCTGGATTACATTGTTCTAGGTTTATTACTATGACCTTGTGGGTTAGAGCAGTGTGCTTGTGCTCTGAGAAGGTTGCGCATACCTGGTTTGTCTTCATCCCACACTGCTCCCCGGGCACCACACAATGGCAGCCCACTGCTCCCCAAGGGAAAGGGTTAAATGCAGAGATACTTTTCTCAAGTGTGAGATTTAAAGCTACAGTGTGTAATAATTACAGGGATATACAGTCAGAAATGTAATATATTATACATAACTATGTTATTTATCATCATCTACGAGCTCATCCTCTTAACCTTAATATTTGCGTTGCCTTAGAATTCGTTTTTTATAATTACATAGGAGCGGGTCTCGCAGCCATGGAGGCAGACATCTTTGACATGTTGCTGCGGTCAGCAGTCTGGACGTTAGATGTCGCTGAAAATTACACACTGTAGCTTTAAAGGTTTCTAGACGCTTTATGAAAAAAAATATTACTGCAGGATGTGCACTTGCATTTCTACTTTCATAAAGTATCTGAATGCTCATACTGTCAACGCTCAGAACGGAGGAACCAGTATTCTATCCTTTTCAAAGGGCATTTATCTAAAAACAACAGATCTGAAG